GGCTCGTTAAGCAAACGAGTCGAACACGAACACACTTTTTGAGCTCGAAATATAAACGAGCCGAACACGAGCGAGTCGTTTACACCCCTAATCGTCAGTGGGATCCAGGAATGGTCGGCGAGAATCCGAAGCTTCGACAGATGAAGTCAAAGCTCCCCCATCCACGGGAAACTGATGCAAGAGCAGGATTTCCCGCAGCAGCCGCGAGAGCGGCGTTTCCCGCATTGGGAACGGGGGTGCGAGATTTCCCGCATTGGGAAATCTCGCTTTTGAACCGAACTGGCCCAATTGAGGTCGGTCAAGGGTAAACGGAGGTCGAGCAACCATGGGGCGGTAATTTAACTGGGCAGGACCACCACCCCTCCTTTTTTTGCTTCTTCATTTAGAAGTATTGAATGGCTAATTTCTAAATAATTCTTGCCGCTCCGCCCCTTCCTTTTGAGTGCAAATTTCTTTCTTTATTTCTTTCCTCCTTTCTTCATGTAAGAGTCTATTTATTTGTTATTTTACATATTTAGGGGGAGTTTTTTGTTGTGTATGCTTTTCAGAATTCATGTGTGGAGTCCTCTTACCTTTTATAAGGTTGTACCGGAGGACGTGATGGTGCTCTGGCTGTATACTCCTTCGAAGTGGTGATTTATCTTCCCTTTCCATCTTCCCTAACCCTTTTCTTCCACTCCCTTTAGTCTTCAGCCACTCCAAACCCTATCCAGCACCTTCCTGCCAACCCAAACCGTTTGCATATTTGCTAAAATCGCTTCTGGCACAACAACCCTTGTTGCAACTACCCCGGGACAACAAACCTTTGTTGTTCTTGTCGTTTTTTCCCCACTTTCCTAGTGTCGTTGCACAAGCCAGCTAGCTCTCTATTTGCTCCTGCAGTTTTCTCACCTTGCCTTTGTCGTCGCCACCCCCACGAGCCATCCCGATCCACCTAGCCAACCTCCACCGCCCTTAGGATGCACTTTCCTGCTGTCGTTTATTGTAACCCTATTTCCCCATTAGTAAAAATTATTTTTTTGCATTTCCACTGTTTTCCTCTAAGTTCCGATATCACATATCATTATTAATATCAACATATCTATAACATGCAAAACCGCATTAATGTGCGCCAAGTCAATTCCATTGGGACTTGATCAAATGACTTCTAAAGATCAATAAAAATCAAATGTATACATTTTTTGCTCTTTATGATTCTCCAGAAATCATATTGACATAAATATGAAATCTTTGCAGAGCTTTTTAACATTAAACCAAATTAATGCATTAAACATGAAATTTTTTTAAAATATATATTTATTACTCTCTTTCATACCTCCATTATAAGATTGATAAGTTTCACTTTTTTATAAACATGTATTCTTCTTTGGGTGCAATGCTACAACCATATTTTCTCAAAATCCAAAAAAACAAGACATTTCTCACAATTAAAGTGGTTCTAGTAAAATCCAATCCTACCATACACCATTGGTCAACTTGGAGGCAATGTTAGGATGCCTACTAGTTTTTGCCATCCGGCTTTCCCAAGGCAAACCCAGAGATGCTTGGGGTTAGGGTCAAAAAAGTAATTATTCTCCTATTATAACTATAAATTAAATGAAGCTTGCGTTATCACTAATCATGAAACATAGCATAATGTTATCTAAATCTGGAAAGGAAACACAAAAGTTAGCAATGTGAAATCTTAGCTTAAACATTTTGAAAAAGATAAAATTACAGACGATATCAGCATGCCCTTATTGTTTAATTCAAATAATTTAAGCTACAAAACAATTATTGCTTAATTCAAATAATTTATGCTACAAAACAAAGATTACTTTAAGAAAATGCCATATTTGTGTCTCGCACGCTCCTAGTACTAGCAATTCATAGGCAAATTTAAAATATGTAAATCATCCTAACATGATTTTTGACAGACCCTCAAATATATTACCTAAATTAATAAAATCATACTTCATTCAAAACTACAATAACATGGTCTGTGCTATGATGGACCATTGCATGAAAAGATACATATATCAACAGACAAGGGGTTGACAAAATGTTGGAAGAGTGGCATTACAATGTATAGAGATATTCATAAATCTATTCAAGCAAATATGATAATGAATCTCTCGACTTAGTTAAAGCTTGAACTCGTGAAAATGGATCAGGGAAAATAACTGCAAAAGGGAGCCATTAGCTTAGGATATGATGTAACTAAAGCTATTGACTACAAAAAAACAAACTCCAGATCCAAGGAGCCCATCTAACATCCACACTTTCATAGAAAGAATAGTAAGAAGAATTCAAGATACCAATCCTAGCTTCCAAAGAAGAAGATTATGACCACACGGTAGATGTAGTAGCAGATGTTGGTATCAAATAATCTATTCAAAGTGAGTGGAAGATATTAATAATCATTTTATTGGATCCTTATAAAGCGATATCTATAATGATCCATTACTTTAGACCATATGTCACAACAAACAACTATATCATCGAAATCCTTGGCTAGAGTATAGGATTTAAGAAGAAAAGAACTTATACAATCGTATCAAAAAAATATATATATATTAATATCACCCACTCAATACTTAGCTGAAAATGAGCAAAAGTAAGTCAACAAATAGCCAAGATTTAACAAAATTTCATCAAAAAAGCATGTGATTAGAACTAGATCTTACCTGATACTCCATTTTTGAAAGTCGACCACCCTGTTGAACATACCTTAGAAGGGCTTCTGAGCGTCGAGCAACAAATTCATCATAATTTAAGCCATCTGGTGGAGACAGCTGAGCATGTGTTAACACAACCAAACTCCTTCGCCATATTGTTCTGCCAAAAGTATCTGTAATGGCTTTCACAACTTGTCTGTCCAAGGTATCCATTCTATATGCATCTAGTCGGTCCACATAAAGAAGCACATCAATGGACTTGTTAAGAAGAAACCTAAATAACATCAAATTGATTAAATTTCAATGCAAAAAAATAATAATAATAAATACATTATGCTTCCTAATAAAATTGCATTTCATATCATATCTTGATAGGCTGAATAAATTTCAAACTACAATTACATCTAATTAATCTTTTATGTCAAAAGGAAATATATTTAAAATTGAAACATTAGAATGGCATTAAATGATGAATACTTCACAACTTGATAAAGTCTAATTAGATTAGAAAACCGCTGAAATTAGACGGAAGTTTCTCTTCGACAACCAAAGTTAAACAACAACAACGAAAAGTTTTTATCTCACTAAATGGGGTCAACCACATGAATCTTTTTTCTCCATTGTGCCCAATTGAGTGTCATATTTTTATTTAATTCTAATAAGTTAAGCTTATTTTTATACAATATGCCCAAGTCTTTTTAGGTCTACATCTACCTTTCTTAGCATAATTCGGATCTAAAGCATCTACTCTCCTAACTGGATCATCAGATGGCCAACGTTTAAAGTGACCAAACCATCTAAGATGACTCTTTTTAATCTTGTCTGCCAATAGAGCTACACCAACCCTTTTACGGATACATTCGTTTCGCATTTTGTCTCTAAGTGTCAGGCCACTCATCTACCTAAGCATTCTCATCTTAGCAATAGTTAAATTAGTTATATGCTCCCTTTTATAGGCCAACATCTTGTGGCATAAAGTATTACAGGTCTCACCACCATCTTATAAAACTTTCCTTTAAGCCTAAGCAGTACTTTTCTATCACACAATAGATCCAATGCATTCCTCCACTTCAACCATCCAACTTGAATTCTACTTCAACCATCCAACTTGATCAACCATCCAACTTGAATTCTACTAAAAACATCCCCATCTAGATCGTCATCACTAGGGGTGTAAACGAACCGAACACGAACGAACAAAGCTTGTGTTTGTGTTAGGTTCGTTTAAAATTTAGTTTGTTTGAAATAAGCTCGTGTTCGTTTCTTAACGAACGAGCCGAACACGAACCGAACACGAGCTGTTCGCGAACGACGAGCCCGTTTGACATCCCTAATATTAATACATAAAAATAATATTATATATTAATTATATAACTTATATTATATAAATATACAATATATATATTAGTATATTACTACTATAGTATATTAATATATTATTATTATTATTATTTTATTATAAAAAATTTGTTCGCGTTTGTCTCGTTTACTTATCGAACAAATCGAACACGAACTCATTGACGAACCGAACATGAACTGTTCGCGAACAACGAGCTTTTTTGACAGCCCTAGTCATCACTTTGAACGATAGACTCGAGATATCTAAAATGTTCACTCTTTTAAATTATTTGATCGCCCATTATTACAACTATGTCACTAGATCTGCTACTACTAAAATTACATTCTATGTATTCAGTTTTAAATATACTCCAACGAAGGCCTTTAGAATCTAAAGTAGAACTCTATAATTCAAGTTTTTTTCCCGAAATCTTTCTATAGTCTCATCAACAAGAAGGATATCATCAGAGAAAAGCATACACCAAGGTACATCCTCCTGTAAAGGTACATCCTCCTGTAAATATCCTCCTGTAAATGTCCAGTAAGAGCATCCATAACTAAAGCAAAAGGATATGGGCTTAAAGTCAATCCGTGATGTAATCCAACTAAAATAGAAAAATACTTAGTCAATCTTTTTTCTATTCAAACACAAGTAACAACACTAGTATACATATCTTTAATGACTTAAAATATAAGTCATATCAGCATCTTTCTTTTCTAGAAGCTCAACAGAACTTGAAACTTTAAATATAAGTCATATCAACATCTTTCTTTTCTAGAAACTCAACAAAATCATATGTAGATCCTCACTCTCTCAGTACTTCTCCATCAAATGTCTCAATAAATGTATAGCTTCCATAGTACACTTGCCCGGCATAAATCCAAATTGATTATGAGAATCTTTATATCACGTCTTAACCTATGTTCAATTACTCTTTCTTATAATTTTAATGCATGACACATTAACTTAATTCCTCTATAATTTGCACACTAGTGGAGATAGTTGAGAATGTGTTAACACAACCAAACTCTTTCGCCATATTGTTTTGGCAAAATTATCTGCAATGGCTTTCACGTCTTTCCAAGGTATCCATTCGATATGCATCTAGTCAGTCTACATAAAGAAGCACATCAATGGTCTTGCTCACAAGAAACCTAAATACCATCAAATTGACTAAATTGCTATGCAAAAATAATAATAATAAATATATGGTTAAATGTAAATCAAAGAACTTGATTAACAACAATAAAAAAGAGGATTAAAAGGACAGTTCACCTGCTGGAAGAAATACATTATGCTTCCTAACAAAATTGCATTTCATCCCATAAAAAAAATTATGTTCTATATTTCTGTATCTCTTTTCTTAACTGATCAAATTTAAGTAATGCTAACATTCTTGAAAGTAGAAAGCACTGTGTTACAGCTTAAGAACTCAAAAACTAGTGTTTGCCAAAAGCATTACTTTCCTCAAGTGTGCCGAAAGGGTTGCAAATTCATTAGAAGCAATCACATTTTCATGGGCTTTAAGTTTTATTTATGAAATTTTCCAGAAGAAAACACTTAAGAAATTCTTGCTGGAGTCAGAAAGCAAATAATTCATATGCCCCTTCTTTGTTATTTTGTTTCCCCTCAGCAGAAATTCAAACATGCTCTTATTTTCTCCACATTAGCATTTCTTTTTCTTAAAAAGATATTTTTGGCTTCCTTTATAGGTCCATCAACATCAAGGAAGTTTCTTTTAGACCACGTAGAGATTACAGCATCCATGTCAAGTTGAAAGAAACAGTTTCAAGTCAAAGTTATCCTTCCTCAGCACTAACCTCTTTATGATTCCAATGGCTTGTTCATTAACATATCCTCCTTCAACAATCCCTGGAGTGTCAACAATGTTCAAAGTAAATCCTGCCCGTGTCCTTGAACACATGATCGGCCTCAGCCCCTCTGACTAGAAAAAATAGCACAAATTGTAAAATGAGATTAACGCCACCGAAACAATCAAGTGAATCAATTCAAACAGATCCAACAAACCTGGAAGGCACTAACTGAAGCAATCCGCTCCCCTAAAATTGAATTAACGGTGGACGACTTCCCCATGCCTCCCTTTCCCATCACTAGAATCGTCAACGTGCTCACATTCTAACAGCCCAAAACAGAAAGAGTGAGCGAGGGGGAGTAAGAGAAAGAGAGAGAGAGAGAGGCTAACATCCAAATTAGATCTTTTGTAGATAAAACAAACCTCTTGCTTCAACTTCCCAAGCAACTCCATCAATCTCGTCTGCGTAGCTACCGGAAAGTTCTGGATACCAAGCCACTCACGAGCAATTTGGAAGGCCATTGTAGCTCACCAACAAGGACAACAATACCTAATAAATTTGTGCACATCAGAAAATTTCGATAACAATAAGACAGGAACATAGACCCCGATGCCGCAGCAAAGAAAACTGGCCGCCGGAGGTAAAGTGATTCAAGACCAATACCTCCCTTTTCTCCATTAGCGCATTAAGAACTATTGAGCTTTATATAAAGGAAAAGCGCAAGGCAATCTCCATACCTACGTATCTCAGAAAGAGATAGGGAAGCCGGTGGGCGACCTCGCGTTTGGATAATAGGGTCAGTGGAAGGTTATGATGGAGAAGCAGAAGCCAAACATGCAAGTCCTAAGAATTTATCATTAAATTTTAAATTTTAAATTTAAGATTCTAATTTTGCCTTGAATTTAAATTCCAATTCAATAAAGAGATTAATTTAAATTTACTAAAACCTATTAAGGATCTGTTTGGGGGCAGTTATAGATGTAAAGCAGCTGAAGAAGTAGCTTGTGTTCTAAAAACTATGGTGACTATTACAAAAAATAAAAATTTGAAAAGTTAGACTGCAGCATTCTAACAACAATTACAGGTACTCAAGATTGGTGATAAAATGTAACTTTCAGTTGTGACTTTTTAAGAGCTCAAGTAAAACGTAATTTTATCAAACAAAAAAATTACGGTGTAACATCACCGTCGTCCCAAACACACCCTAATTCTATATCCTTCTTGCAGCCAAACACCCTCAAATCAAAAGTGAGAGTCGGAAGCCTATAGAAAAAATGCTGCATCCATGTGCCTTCATAGGCTTGGTGGGATAAGGTACGACAAGGTAAAGGCTAGAGTTCCACCCAATATTGTTACAAGGCAGCAAGTAGAAAAATCGCATTATGTTACAGTGCCGCACAATATTGGGTGATATATATATATATATATATA